CCCCAAAACCCCAAAACCCCAAAACCCCTTAAAAACCTTTATATATTGCGAAAACAATTATATTTATAATATGGAATCAATTATCGAGAGTGAAAACACAGTGCTGAAACAAGAGATTAGTCTCAGGGAAACTATCAGTGAGAGAAACCCCTTAGTTAATTCAAATGGACATACTAATGTTGTTCCAGGGCTATTTTGCTGCATCAAAGACTCGTTTGGAGTAAGATTTTGATTCAACTTTTAGGTAACTCCTATATGGACTATGAAGACTAGTAACAAAATCATCCTGTACAGACCTTTAGTCTTTAAAATGCAGTTGACTTATAATCTACTATACTGGGAAGAGAAGAATGGAGAACAAAGTATAAGAAGAGAACAGAGAAGAAAGAGCAAAAAGATTATGGAGACTATCAAGGGTCTGGATATAAAATATATTGAGTGACTGGAATTTGAGGGTAGTGGTTGGTTTGATCCATTTGCGATAGATAGATTCATTTTTAACAGTTTGATAAAACTGATCCCAATAATCTTTTCTTGATTGAAACTTGATGGACTATATCTTCCAAAGAATAAGTTCAAACTGATATTGAACAATATTATCAAACTTGATTGTTTTGAGATTATTGATTCTGAAGTTTGGACAGAAGAATTAGAAATATTGCCTACGAGGAACCCGTCCATACGTAAAATTAAAATTCTCGGATGATATCTTCGCAAGGGCTGAACGGTAGAACCTTGACTTGATTTGAAAGGTCTATTTACTTGTGTCTCAAAATCTTCACTTAGAGACTCTGTTGAATTAATTTTAATAAAGAGCTTTTTATAAGCCACTTTGTATCTCTTGTTTGAAGAATTAGCTAAAGTAATAGTTTCCTCTCTTTCAAATTGCTAGCTGAAATTTGAAATTCGGGGAGGAAATCACAATAATAGCATGCTCATTCTCTTATCATATTTAAATCTTCTCCCCAAAGACTCTGAGCTAGCAATATAATAGCCAACATACCTAAAAAATAGCCAATGAATAAGATTAGAGGCTTCCATGACTTTCTGTGTAATAAAATACTGAAGTTTAAGAATGAAATGTTATTCTGAAATTTTTATATTTCTCTTTATCATAATCTTTTATATTCATTTGTAGAGTCTTGTCATTTAGAAATTTTGGAAAAATAACTTCATCAAATTGCTTATTAAATGGATTATAATGAATAGCGAATTTATGTAAATAAGTGTTGAAAGAGGAAAAGTTAAGAATTTAAACCATTTTTTTATTCTAATAGTAAGATTAGTCAAAATATACCGTTAAATACGATTAGAAAAGTGAAACTAGAATGGAGTTTAGAAGTTAGATGCTATTAGCCTCTGAATTCTCCTAAAAGAGAAAATCTATTGAAGTATTATAAAGTTACCGGGTTTTTATATATTAGTTTGATATATTGAAGAAGAGGAATGATAAAATAGGCGCTATAGCTGCAAAAGAAAATGTCTTCGTTATATTAATTTGTGTTTGAAACGTATTTATTTGCTGCTCATTTGTGCCCAGAAGTTTAAGATTTGAGAAATACCAACATCTTATACTAGATTTCTCTCAACATGAAGAAGTTTAATGATCTCTATTTTATAATCAAATTCTATAATAAAAGATTGTGAAATTGATAATGAAGCAATAGAAGAAATGAAGAATGAATATCTCATTAGGCCTGAAATTATTAAAACTTCGGATGAGTCAGATTCTTCCTAAAATTAACCTGGATGATGCAAGAGAACATTCAATATGTTTTCTTTAATAGTTACAAAATATGTTCAATCTTGATAGTCATCATTGGGGTTTTGGGGTTTTGGGGTTTTGGGGTTTTGGGG